AATTCTCAGGTTTTTGGAGAACAGGTTAAAATATACATACAGCACATTTCTTTAATGAATGTTTGTTTTACTGTCAACCATGTTAAAGATACACTATGTAAGATAAAAAATAGTTTGATACAAAATCTCAATCAAGACTTTCAGTATGTTTGGATGCTGCTTTATTATGGTATGCATACTGTATGCTATTGCATGCAATGTTGTATATTTACCATTTTACACAAATAATAATAAGCATATAATTTTACTTAATATCAAATCGTAATTGTAATGTAAGCCAATGTATTTATTCAGTTAACCAAGATAAGTCTTTTCTTTTGTCCCTACAAGATCCTTTCTTATTTTTGGCACATACCTTGTAAATCTTATAGTTAATGCACTGTAAAATACACAAATGTTGTGCTACTCAATGGGTCCTACTCCACTCCCTAAGTTGTCCATGTAGGAGCTGGGCCGGACCTTCATGGCTGTGCGTCTGAGAGAGTACCACAGTCCTCTCCAGGTGCCCCAGACCACACCATTATCATGCTTGGCTTTGTACTCTCCACCTCTGTAAAATCTCCCATTAAGATTGGCAGCATGACACCTATAAGTAAGCAACAGGTAACATAAGATTCTGTGTTAAGTGTACAAAAAAGCTATGCCCATAAAGTTCAGAAAGCCCTCAGCATCACCTGTTATACCACCAGCCCCCCCTGTTCTCAACAGCACAGTTTCCTTGCAGGTAGCGATCGTGATCCTGGTCCCGGGTGCTGAATTGCATGCCGTTATGAGAGGCTGACCACTGCTCCACCATATTGGCCCCTCCGGACAGTGCATCTCCTGCCTGACCACTGTACATCCCGTAGTGCAGCCTGTACTTATCCTGAGGATAGATGAGGAATGATGTGAGCAAAGAGGAATTTGATTGAATAGGAGACATTAAATTGTTAAAGGTAGGAACCAAAAAAAAACATACTTTTTCATCTGACACTCTGAAGTTGTCGTACATGGCATAGGATCTCTCTCCTTTCCAGTCCATCAGTTCAATTTTCATCACATTTTCACCTAAAGAGGATTTTAATTGTATTATTGTAGAGCAGAAAAGCAGAGTGATCAGCTTATATACAAATCTTACCATCATTGAGCAGGGCATGAATATGATCATTCCCAAGCCAGAATTCATCTTTGCTTGACTGAAAATCACCAAATCCATTTTTATAATCTTCCCACTTTCTGTGAATAGAAATGCCAATTTGATCATACTGATCTTTATGTGGGTCTGAATGTAAGAATATAAACTTTCCGCAAAAATATTCATTAGTACAAAGAGACGCAAGTAAGTAGACTTACCTGTCAAAATCAACTTTCCCATTGATCCGTTTCTGAATCACAGTCCAGCCCCCACCATCTTCCATCTCACAGTACACAAGGAATGGTTCAACTGACAGTTTGGGTTTAATCCTGTAGAATCCGCTCCCTGGTTTTAGTCTGTCATATAACTCCGAACAATCTAACAGACATAAATTATAGGGGAAAAAATGATTTAACTATTTTGAGATCAACTTTCTTTTTGAAGTTTTAGCTCTGTTTTATCACAATGTACTTTTCTTTCCCTTTTGTATGTCAGTTTAACCCCAGCAATAACACAGTTAAAATTCAAGAAATACAATAAAATAAAAAACTTAAAACTTAAATAGACTTGAGACTCCAGATAGATTAAAAAAACTGATTTTAAAACATTTCAAAATTTGTTCATAATCAGTTATCATAAAATTATGAAAAGGTTTAACAACGTGCACAGGTTTCTTACAAAAGTATAAACATTACCTTTGTCATGAACTAATAATGAGCCTCCAGTACTTGGTAGGGTGGGTGAAGGTTCAGTGTTGTTTTCAGGGGTCTTCTTGTGTTCCAGTGATAGTTCCAGGTTGGGAATCAGCTTGAAGCGTCGGTGATTACGCAGAAGCATAATTTTCCATTCCCCAATCAGCAATTTATTATTCAGCTTACGAATCTCTTCCTTCAGCTTCAACACTTCAGATACTTTGCATTCTTCCTCTGCCTCAATAAACCAAAGGCAACATTATTCTTCTGTTTTTGGTTCTTTTTCTATAGGCTGTTTTTCTATGTAATGTTTAGATACTGTTGAAATTCTGGTGAAACTTACTGAGATTTGAAGAAATGTGAGCGCATGAAACACCAAGATAAACACCAGCTGTGACATGACTATCTAATATTCTTTACATGAAAATGGAGAAATGTGTTAATCTTGTCCAAGAATACAAACACATAAAACGTAGTAAACATAAGCTTCCATTTAATTTGCATTCAACACTGTAAAATGTTTAAATGCAAGTAGAAAAATAAGCAATGCAGTCATATATTCTTTTTAAATATCAATAAAGGTTTATTAAACATAAGTCTATACTTACAGAACGCGGTGTTCTTACCCGTCTCCAGATTAAGTGTCAATGAAATGCCCTCCAGACTTTCATTTCTAATATTTATAGGCGCTGCTGGTTCCGCATGGTCCACATTATCTGTCCACTGGGTCAGAAAGATGCTTCATCTTCCCCCATTCCACACATACCAGAAGCAAGAACGTAAAATTGTTTGCTTTATAATTTATGTGGAATTTCTGTTCCACATAAAACAAACAAAACCTTTAGTATTATGATTAGCAATATAAGTAAGTAGGCTACACCATCCCTACTGGATAGCCTACTTAGGATAGGCAGCTAATTTTGCTTTTTCATCTTTACATTTAAAATTTCTATAGGCTATTTGTGTTTTACACAGAAAATAATGTCATTTAGGCCAACGTGTTTGAAAAGGTGTGAGGAAATTAAGTAGCCTAAATAATTTTATTTTGCGTGAACTGTTCCTTAATACAGACTACTTTTAGATTTTATTCAAATCATTACTTCGTTATTTTATGAAGCAGTTTTCACAAAAAAGGTCTCCACAAGGATTTACAATTACTGAGGAGATGGAGTAGGCTATTTGGTATGGAGTCAATATAATGCCACTTATATATGCAAAATAATAAAGTTTTGCAAAAGAAAATAAAGTTTTGCAAACGAAAATGAAAGTTTTGCAAACGAAAATGAAAGTATTGAGAAAAAATAAATGTGTTTTTGCAAACAAAAATAAAGAATTGCAAAATATAAATGAAACAGCACAAAAGCAATGATTTTGCAATACATATTTTCCATGGCCATATCTACTAATTTATTTGCAACGCTGCTTTTATTTTGCGTTTCAGTGAAGTTTGAGCTTGCGATACCGTTTTTCCCTTTGCGCTTCACGTTTCTGCGCGTCTCGCTTTCTGGCACTGTTTTGACATGGGGGTGGAGTCAAGGGACGGGGGCGTGTACAACAGGCCTGGGCATGCCTCCCTGGAAGTGACGTCATCGGCCCGAGACGCAGCTCACTGATCCAGGCACCATCGTTGAGCAGAGGCATGCGGGTGGATCGTTTCCTTTTATTCTCTAGCATTAAAACATGCATGTTTTCGTTTTATTAACAAATGTATATGTGTATTAGCAGTGTTTGCTCAAGTTAAAGAAGTTGTTAACATGAACATCTGCTGTTTACTTCTCTCAATGTGCACACTTTTATAGCATTAAAATGTGTATTGTTTCATTTGGTTAACTAAATGTGTTTGTTTAAAATCTCTTAACCTGTGGGAGGACGCCAGCGCACAGAAGCGTTCTTTGTTTACATGAGTTCAGAGTTACTGCTAGTTTTAATGTTAAAGAATGCAATTAACTTCATAAACTAACTTACATCATTAAAAAGGTCTATGACTCAGGCTTCATATCGATCTCGACTTCGTTTTTCATTTACATAACTCCTGGCATAAATTAAGAAATGATTGTAACTGTTAAGTTTTTAAAAAAATGAAGCTTGAGTCTTTTTGGTTTAGTTTTGTCGTGGCCACGAGATATTAATTCGTGGGAACGTGATAATATGTCGTGGCCATGAGATCCTATTGAGGGAACAACTTCTAGTTGATAGTATATGCTACCATATATTTTGCAACTACTGTAAACGCCTGACAATTATGCCAATAAAGTTTTGACTTTATGATTGCGTTTACACCTGTATGTGACGATAAATGAGTGGTGTTTTCATTTACAAATGAAACTACGCAAATTATTCATTTATAATTCTAGTATTTATAATTATAGGGTTAGGGTATTTATAGGGTTATTGTTAAATTCATCCTCTAAACTGCACTTCCAGTAAAAATTCCTGTCATATAGCATAATCAAAGCTTTAATTGGCATGTCGGGCATTTACAGTATAGGCTATTATTTACTAAACTCGTCAAGGCTGCGTTTCCCAAAAGCATCGTAAGCCAAATGATGACAATGGTTCTTCAATCGATTTAGGCTTAAGATGCTTTTGGGAAACGCAGCCCTGAACGTTAAGTAAAGAGATCGAAATGAAGGTAAAAAAAAAATCAAATACTTTTGCAATTCTTTATTTTTGTTTGCAAAAAACACATTTATTTTTTCTCAATACTTTCATTTTCGTTTGCAAAACTTTATTTTCTTTTGCAAAACTTTATTTTCTTTTGCAAAACTTTATTATTTTGCATATATAAGTGGCATTATATTGACTCCATAATTTGGCCCCCAAGAAAACATAATAAAACTTGCATCGCGCGTGCGCGCGCAAACGCACTTTCATTGCAACCATATTTTAATAACACTACGAAGTATAATACCTCAGTGAATTTAAGGACCGCATTTGTTTTGTTATCACCGTTCCCATTCGCCCCCATTCCCATTTTGTGTGCATCAAAAGCGCATGAGGAAGTTAAAAACCGCTACGTCTGCAGCAGGAGTGAAGAAGGGGGCGGTGTGAATGTGGTTGTGGATGGAAGACAGAAGAAAACTACTGCTAACCTTTGAACCTCCTTCCTTTGTTATCACAAAAAATCACGGGACAGTCACCGCTCGTAAAGACAGTCATGGAGACCTGACACAGAAAGCCTGTTTGAGGAACATGTGATTGTTCAGAAAGCAGAAAAGCTGCCTGCGAGTCGAGCAAAGGAAGGAAACTGTTTTCCCGGATGCGCTTTCTGACTGGTTTGTATCGGTTTTCCCAAAGCTGGCATTCCTTTGCTGTGATCTTGTTCAGACTGAAACAAACCAATGATTTCTTGTTATATTTCTTTATGCAGATATTTAATTTAGAGCTTCATACTTGATTTCGAAACTTTCTGGTACAGACAACTTTCCGGATTAGTAATCCATGGGATATTAATCAGAAAATCTTTTAATCCACCTCAGAAAGCTTGAATTTGGACCCTCTGAGGATTTATTGGTCTAAAGTAAGTATATCTTTTGTCATGTTTGAGTTTGTTAGTTCTGCTTTATTTTTGACTGATATCATAACTCAAACTATCGTACTATCATATATAAAGAGAGTATATACTATCTTTAAATAAACTGCAGTTTAATTGTTTTTTATATATGAAGAGTTCAGATGCAAACGCCTCTAAGTGCCATTTGAAATTTTCTTCTAAAATGAGCATTTTTTTTTATGATGCTCCTATGTGTAGGTTCAGTAATTTCGCTTCAATGCCAATGAATAGGTTTTCATTGCTATTAAGTTGAAATAACTGAACATAAACATAGGAGTCTGAGAAAAATGCTAGTTTTAGAAGAAAATTTCAGACGGCACTTAGAGGGTTTCGCATCCGAACTCTTCACATGTAATTTTTTTTTTTTTTTCAGAGAGAAACTTAAAACTTTCCAGTAAAAATGACATCAGTGCATTTCAACCCTGGGTTAGATTCCAAGGAAGTTAATGGGTAAGTGAATAACATTCAAATGAAGTTACTAACACTTCACCAGCATCATGACCTTTACTCCCCCACCTTTAAATGAGTAATTCAGCACTATTCCCAGCAGAATTACATTGTGTTTAACAAATGACTCTAATGTCTGACGTTTTGTAAGCTTTACGTTTCTAAAATGATGCAAGGTGGTTATGTTGTATCTTTTGTCTATGTATCTATATTGGAGCAGTAATGGGGTGAAAGAGGAGGCAGAGGTGCAGATTGATGACGGAAAGGAAGAGACTGAGGACCCAGACACCATGTACCAGTAAGTAAGCTTATAATTTGTTGACATTGTGATGTTTTGAGATGAATATTCTAACGTTTCATACTGTATTTGATTTGTTTTGCAGTCGTATCCGGGAAACTATAGCTCCTTTTGTGATGTCTTTTGGTTTTCGGTAAGTGGGATCATTTCATTTCAGAATGTCACATAAAGAGGCTCCCAGGACCTAAAAAATCCAATAAAAGTGTTTGTGATCTTTTAGTTTTTTTTTTTTTCAAAAATAGATTTTAGACTATGTTTTTCTATGTTCTTCTCTTCTTATTTGCAGTGTTTTTGGCTTGGTACTGATCATTGTGGATATTATTCTGGTCATTGTGGACTTTTCTCTTTCCAACGGTAGTCACGATGTTAGAAGAGCAATGGAGTCTGTTTCGCTTGTCATCTCCTTCTTTTTCCTCATTGATGTGCTGCTCCGTGTATACGTGGAAGGGTTAGTAGGTTTTCAAAGTAATTTTGTGAATTTAGTCTTTCGTCTTGCATTTCATTTGAACGTCATTTACAAAACACTTTAGACTGAAAGTAACCAATAGCACTGTAGCGTTCATGTTTCACATGATGAGTTGCTCATCATAGGAAATGATTTGCAGGAAACACATTTCCGGTTTGTTTTTCCCAAATGAGTTTTTATCACTCTAGACCAAGTTTCCTAGAGCTCAAGCACAAAAATAAGTTAAATGGTCCACAAACTCAGCGAAAGGTATTATTTTACATATTTAGGATCTATTCCTTAGCAATCTCTGATAAACCTTTCTTAAAGGGTTAGTTCACCCAAAAATGAAAATTAGGCTGTTTTACTCACCCCCGAGGCATCCTAGGTATATATGACTTTCTTCTTTCAGACGAATCCTCACCCCCGAGGCATCCTAGGTGTATATGACTTTCTTCTTTCAGACGAATCCAGTTGGAGTTATATTAAAAATTGTCCTGGCTATTCCAAGCTCTATCACTGCAGTCAGCGGGTGTTGCAGTGCTTCAGTCCAAAAGAAGTTAAATAAAAAGCTCCCATCCATAAAAAAAAAAAGTGCCTCACACGGATCCGGGGGGTGAACAAAGGCCTCCTGTAGCGAATCTATGTGTTTTTGTAAGAAAAATATCCATATTCAAGACGTAATAATCACTTGAATAAGTGACGTAATAATCACTTGACTTGCGCTCAGTGTTGTAAACTGAAGCCGTTCCGGGCGGAAACACAGCCTAATTTTCATTTTTGGCTGAACTAACCCTTTAAATCATCTTCTTTCTCAGATTCAAAGTGTATTTCAGCTCAATACTGAATATAATAGATGCGTGTATTGTGGTTGTTACCCTGGTGGTCACCATGATCTACGCATTCACCGATCTCTCCGGAGCTAGCCTGATTCCCAGGTACAGCAGATTTAACAGAACACATTCTCAACATGCTCCCATTTCACCCAATATTCTAGTAGTATAACGATATTAAAATGGTGTGTTTGCAGGGTGGTCACGTTCCTGAGATCTCTGAGGATATTGATTCTGGTACGTGTCTTCAGACTGGCCTCTCAGAAGAAAGAGCTTGAAAAGGTCACCAGGAGAATGGTGAGTGACACCAAGAAAATGTTGTTCATCACAGTGTGTGGTGTGGTCATTATAATAACTGCGATTGTGTCTCCTTAGCCAATCAGGTAATGCGTGGGATTTCTGGCGTCTCTGCTGGCAGTGAATGAATTTGCCTTTTTTAATAACCACATCTGCTGTTTTTGTTCAGACAAAGTGAAAATCGAGCCGTATTTTCACGCAGAGTTGTGAATGTGAACTTGTGAATCGACAAGATAATGCATTATAAAAATTTGAACAATTAAGACAGTAAAATATATTTAGATGGTATTTAATTAATATAATAATTGATTGATAATAATCGTTTAATATAATAACTGATACTTCTGACTCTTTTTTTTTTTTTTTTTCTTTCTTAAAAATGGTTTAAAGGCTGAAATGTGAAATTTATCATTTCATAAAACTTCTTGTTTTTGTGGAAAACCTGTATCTTCACTGTAAATCATGCTTTTTACATTCATACAGTCATTTTACAGTTAAAAATGTTACCATAGACATTGCTTAACCCTGCTCATACAGTATTAATTTAATTTGTGTAGGTCTTAAATAAGGGCTTAAAAAGTCTTAAATTTGAGCTTAAAAATCCTCAGATACCCTTTTTCAATCTGTTTGTGTTTCAAAGACGCGTGTGCTGCATGTGTTTGATAAAAAATACAGTTCTTCTTTTAAACTTTAATCAATTTTTATTGATTTTATTGATTTTTAATACAGTAAAAAGAGCAATATTGTGAAAAAAAAAAATATATATATATATATATATATATAAATCTTTTTTATATCCAAACTTTTGTCTGCAGTGTATGTACTTTTCATTCTTCTTTTAAACTTTAATCCATTTTTATTTAACCACTTTTTATCCATTTCCAGTTTTATTTGTTTTCCTTATTTAATTTTTAGTCTTCTATTTAGTCGTTTTCTTGTCTTTGTTTATATGTTCTTAAACATATGTTCTTTCACATTTCTCACTCTCACGTAAAGCGTTTTTTATGTTGTATGAAATTGCTATATAAATAAACTTGATCTAATCATTTTCATAGGTGTCCGAGAACAAAAGACGGTACCAAAAAGATGGATTTGATCTGGACCTCACTTATGTCACAGGTTTGATTGCTTTTTGTTGTAGTTGACAGAAATATAGCCATTTCATTTCATCTTCATGTTTTTTTCTCTTTAATTTTGCATCAGATGTATCATTTTAAATTAATTTAAAACATTATAAACAACATCAAAATGAATTAATTTGCCAACCAAAGTGATTAATCATGGGTCTTCTGTCTCTTCAGAAAGAGTCATTGCCATGTCTTTTCCATCGTCTGGGAAGCAGGCGCTCTATAGGAACCCAATCAGAGTAAGATACATAGTAGTAGTTTACATATTTGAATCGTTCAGAAAACATTGCAACAATTGTATGATGAATACATAAATGACACATTTCAGGAGGTCGCTAGATTCCTGGACACCAAACATCTGGATCACTACAAGGTGTTTAACCTCTGTAGTGAGTAGACGATGATCTCTATCAGATTATTTGACCTTAATTGCTAGTACAGATCATTTTTAAAAGGAGTGATAAATAAAGGTGCTAATCTGACATCTGGTTTCAGGTGAGAAGGGTTACGATCCAAAGTTCTTTCACTATAGAGTGGAGCGTGTTATGATAGATGACCATAATGTGCCGTCACTCCAGTAAGTGTGCTGTCACCTCAACTGAACATCAAAATATGAATTTTTAGCAAGGTTTGAGGCTTGATTGAAGCTCTGTTTGTTATTAACGCTGTCAGAGATATGCTGCGGTACACGGCCTGTGTTAGGGAGTGGATGGCAGCAGAGTCCAACAATGTGATCGCCATCCATTGCAAAGGAGGAAAAGGTCTGTCGTTTGGTGGTATTCAGTGTTGTGTCTGAATGTACAGTCTGTCTGAAGTGTGTAATGGTTGGGTTTTGTTCAATAGGGCGGACTGGGACTATGGTGTGCACGTGGCTCATCGACAGCGATCAGTTTGAGAGTGCGCAGGTACAGTCTGTTCATCCATGTTTACATTTAGAGCCCTTCTCATCCAAGATTGTGTTCAAATGTTCTATGAACCATCTTACAGGAGAGTTTGGACTACTTTGGGGAGAGACGGACTGATAAAAGTATGAGTTCGAAGTTCCAGGGTGTTGAAACTCCCTCACAGGTGTGTGTGACACTGGATTGGAAGCCATGGATCCAACAGTAATCAGTGAATGTGTATATTCTTTTTTTATTGATACATTTTCTGTTCGTTTTGCACTTGCAGAGTAGGTACGTCGGTTATTATGAGATCATGAAGAACCAATACAACCGTCAGCTACCACCTCAGAAGAGCCTGAAAATAAAGAGCATTCGAATCCACTCCATCGCAGGTAAGACCCAGCCTGTTATTATAAATATATTACTTATAAAATGTATTAATATATACATGAGAAATATGCTAAATAAAATATTTAGATATTGAATATGAAAAAACTAATATATGTGACCCTGGATCACAAAACCAGTCATAAGTAGCATGGCTATATTTGTAGCAATAGTCAACAATACATTGTATGGATCAAAATTATTGATTTTTCGTAAAGATCATGTTCCATGAAGATATTTTGTAAATTTCCTACTGTAGATATATTAAAACTTAATTTTTGATTAGTAATATGCATTGCTAAGAACTGCATTTGGTCAACTTTAAAGGCTATTTTCTCAATATTTAGATTTTTTTGCACCCTCAGATTCCAGATTTTCAAATAGTTGTATCTCGGACAAATATTGTCCTATCATAACAAACCATACATCAATGGAAAGCTTATTTATTCAACTTTCAGATGATGTATAAAATACAATATAAAATATAAAATCTTGTATAAAACCCTTATGACTGGTTTTGTGTTCCACGGTGACATATAGAATAGCAATATATAGTAATATATATAGTTGATTTGAAATACATGTAATGTATCCATGCATATTTATTTTATATTAATATTGAATAATATATACACATTTTATATGATTAAAATAATGATTTTAGCAAATGGCTGCAATATAACAAAGAGTGAAAAATTTAAAGGGGTCTGAATACTTTCCGTACCCACTGTATATACACAGTATATGCATATATTTACATTATATTGAATATGAAATTTAAATTAATTTAAACATATTGAATGTGAAATATGATGCATATATTCATATTGAATTATATTTAATATTAAAATGTATTTTCATGCAACTTAAAGTGAAAATTTGTAAGTAAATATTAAGTAAACAAAGGAAACACTTTGTGTAATTTTCCCGTGGCTGTGGTTGTTGTTCAGGTGTAGGGAAGGGGAATGGGAGCGACCTGAAGGTGAAGATCATAGTGAAGCAAGAGCTCGTCTTCCAGTGTGTTTGTGCCAAACAGCAGAACTGTGCGGTACGTGTCTAAAGCTAGACGTGATCGTCAACACTTTTAACACGTTTCTCTGTTCTGTATAATAAGGGCAAAGCTAGCAGCTTTACTAGTGGCGTACCAAAGCACACATTCCACGTCATTCTACTCCTCCCGTCCCGTCATGTGTTTTTTTTTTCTCAGGTGTTTCCTGACACCGGTAGCAATGCGGTGGTCATCAGTTTACAGGAAGGGCCTGTTGTGATTGGAGATGTGAAGGTCATGTTTGAGTCCAGTGCTGTAGGTCTCCACTATTTTAGTATTGAGTTGACCCATATATGTGTTGAAGTGTCGGCAGAACATTTAAATGTTGTTCACTGTTGCTTGAACTTCTTTTTCTCTCTCCAGGGTTTGCCAAAGGGTTACGAGGACTGTCCTTTCTATTTCTGGTTTAACACCTCTTTTGTTGAGAACAACAGGTGGTTTTTTTTTTGTCTGTAGTTTTAGAAGATTTTTTCTCTTCTGAGAGCTGAGATCTTTGTGTTGTTGTTTGTGTTGTAGCTTGTATCTCTCGAGGGAGGAGCTGGACAATCCACACAAATCAAAGACCTGGGACATCTACAAGGAGGACTTCGGAGTGACGTTGTATTTCACAGACCCTTGAGAAGACAATTCTCTGACAGTGGATATTGTTTACTATTCTTGTCCTTTCGTATAAGTAGATATATCTCTTGAGGTATACTTACAATAAGCTGCAAACTGAAGCCAATGTAAACACTCCACATAAATCTACAGATATATAAGATTTGAATGTGATGTGTAAAAAATGTCATTGTATTTCCATGGTTGTTTTTGTGTGCAAAAAATGTATTGGAAATTCTTTGTTTTTGTACTGTGGTTCTGTTTATCCTTGGCAGCAGTTAAAATTATTCTGTGAAAGAAATGATTCAAAAAAGTATTTACATATCAAACACCTGCTTCCATGGAAAATATGTTTAAATATTTGTTGAGTACATACTGTCATCAGGCATGATCTACTGACTCCTAGTGGTTCTGTCTTGCACTGCGTCACATTTGAGGAGTGGGATGCTTGTATTCAGTGAAACCTATAATGTATTTTCAGCTTGTTCCTATAATGTAGCTCTTATCCACAACATTTAAATAGAAAAGAGTCCTTTCTGGTTTAAGTTTTGAATTCTTTAGAATATTTATATTTGATAAAGCTTGGTAACAGAGGTCTACTCTGTATTTGTAAATTGAATGCCATATCAATTAATTCAAAAAGATGAGACTTAATTAAATATACAAAACACTACCATTTAAAAGATTAGATTTTTTTGTATTTTTAGATTTTTTCAAAATGCATCTCATGCTCACCGAAGCTGTATTTATTTGATCAAAAATACAGTAAAAACTGCAATTAAATAATTACAAAATAACTTTTCTAATTGAATATATTATAAAATGTAATTTATTCCTGTGACGCAAACAGAATTTTCAGCATCATTACTCCAGTCTTCAGTGCCACATGATCCTTCAGAAATCATTCTGATTAAATGATTTGTCACCTAAACATTTCTCACTTTTATCGGTTGAAAACTGTTGTACTGCTTAATTTTGTGTAATCTGCAATACATTTTTTCCCCAGAATTATTTTATTAAATTTCAAAGGAACAGCATTGCTTTGGAACAGAAATTTGTGACATTAACAACATAAATCACTTTTGATTCATTTAATGCGTAGTTGCTCAATAAAATTTACTTTTTCCAACAACATTGTGAATCCAAACTTTTGAACTGTACCGCACAGTTTAAATCTATAAACAAATTACCTTGCAAAATAATTATTTATTAATCTAGACCTTCAGACAATCCATTTCAACATTCATAAAATCCCACTAGAATTGCAAAATAATTTTCAGCAAGTGCGACAGTTCACACAGAGAAACAATCACATGATCACAGAATCTCTTCATCCTTGCATTAGCCATTAAAACAATTAAGTTTAACGACTTGTGGTTGAATCAATTTTCTTTTACAATAAGCCTTCAACAGGCTCCAGTGTGCAACCTATAGCTCAATGCAGGAAGTGATAACACTAAATATAGATATCACTTCTAAAGTGACAGACCACAATCCGATCAAAAGTGACGCAAATCACACTGAACCACATGAGTGAGAATGAGGACTGAGACGTTTGAGCAGTTGTGGTTTTTACACGATTCAGTGAAGTCACTACCTGTTCCACTTTCAACCAGTAATACTTTACTTTGGTTCTCTGCTCTAAAGTCCACATCTTTACAAGAACTGCTGATTTTTTTAACCCTATCTTGACCTTACAGCTTTAAATAAATGTCCATAGCAAGTCAGCTTTTGATGATCTCAAGTACAAACGTAACAAATGCTACAAAAAGTAGTTCAAATGAAAGTGTCTGTGATGTTGGTGTGGTATTAAACCCATTAGAACTCTAGTTTCATATTTTCTCAACACATTGTCTTCCTAACAGAGTGTTTATCTCCGTGTAGCACGTCACACTGCGTTAGAAGGTCGTATCGTCCGCTGTGTAGAAGGCAGATTAGTGATGTCTTGCAAGTGTCTGTGCAGGGCTTTGAGACGTGGCCTTTATGAAAGAGGTACCAGAAGTGCTGGAAGACACGGTCATCATTCTTCATGACTTTGATTAAAGTGTCCATGTCTGATGGGAAGAGTGTGGACAAACCGTAGGCCTTAGACGCGCGGTACAGTAAGGTCCAGGATGGGTTGGGGTCAGGTTTTGAGGGCTGGTTGTTAGCCAGAGTCAGGTTAAGAATAAAAGTCTCATGATCCAAAACCATGCGATTGCTGCCTGGGTAGTTTCCATCCACGTAATATACGCGATATCCTGACCATAAAAAAAA